TAGATACACTCGGAATTTCTTCAAAGAGTAGACTACAGCCAGCGTCTCCAGCTCATACGAGTGTAAGTGACTCCAGAGATGATGGATCTCACTTCTATTAACGTTACGAATATTTCTTTCGATAAAAGAATTAGCCCTAGCTAAAATTGTATTTGGCTCAAACACAAGAGGATCAGAAGCGAAACTTGTTACTATCAGATGTAAAAATTAACATCGTTTTACGTTCACCCTCAGGATTCGGATTTTTTTATCTATCTGTGCGAATAGTTAATGGATTAAGTTTGCAGCTTACAAAATCATGACCTACTCTATGGCACTCTGGCACTTGATAATGGGTTTGGGACATTTGTAAAATGAATGTCCTTTTGCCTTGCAATTAAAACAGGCGATATTATCAGACGAAAATGTAGCAGAGTTAACGAGCTTATTCCCGGAAGTGCTTTCCAATCGCCTTTTTTGAAAATTGAAAAGAATCAGAGACGCGTTGCGAACTGAGATAATTTAGCAAGTCTTATGGTTCCCTACAGCTTAATGCCCGAGCACCATTCCTAACTGATTTATCAGTAACACCGTGAACTACACAATCTACGGCTTTCCTTCCCACAATATCACTTTGATTTATTAAAGTCAGTTTGTCATAGAAATACTCGCGTAAGTTTTCATTAACATGTGTTGTACGATTAAGCATTTCTTCGAGAAGCTGACCATAATTTTGCTGATAAGGAAATGCTTTACGAAGCTGTGCCTGCCAATCACTCCAACTATAAACTACCATGGGCAAAACCTCTAACCATTTTTTTGCAAATCCTGTTAATTTCTGCAAAGCAAAATGAAAGGTTTGCTTCTCGTCCCAGTCATAAATTCGTTGCATTCGTTGCAAATTGCGTTGCTACATTCGTTGACTTTATTTAACCAACTATCTATACTTTGACTTACTGGATTGATCAAACTCCGGAACAATATTATTTAGCTGGTTACTATTCAATCTTTGAGAATTCTTCCTCTTATTTAAAAATGAAATCAGCTTGGCTACCTCGTCAGTGGAAAGTGCTGTATCTGCATCCGATGAGGGTACCTTGAGATGTGTAGGTGTACGATTCTCTGGATGCACCTCTGCTCCAGTGTCCACCTCCTCGATGACCCAAGACGCCATCGCAGCTACGTTCAAGACCTCTTCGTTTTCGTGGTGCAGGTGATGGAATAAAAGTACTTTTCCGCTTCCTGTTGCGGTTTCTTAGCCGATCCGGATTCATCCTCGAAAACAAGATAAAGCATTAGATTTTGTTTAACAATAAAGCTCTAATTCACTCAAGTCAGATTCCCCGGAATTCTTTTGTTTTGAGGACTGTGGGATGACCTAATATTGGTTTTGAGGCATTAAGTTTCTTAATATTTCTGTTTAATATTTAGTTAAGTTTTCTGACATTTTTATTACCCTTTTGTGAAGAAATGTATCATTAAAATTAATAATGATAACAGTTGTATCATAATATAAAGGAATTTATCTCATTAAGGAGAACAAGATACATTCAAATCAAACGGACAAGTACCCAATAAAATTTAAGGTTAGGAAGTTTTTTTTGCAAGTGAGGCGTCAGTGTATCGTTCACACCTCTGCCTTTCCAGATACCGGTGCAAAAATTCCAATTATGCAAAAAATAAGAAATTTTACCTAGTGGGTGATGCATATGATCACTTACGGACTCACATGACCCTTACTAGAGGGGCACATGGTCACAAGGACACACTTGGCCCTTACTAAGGCGCACATGGCCACAAGGACGCACGTGGCCCTTACTGAGGCACAATTGGCCACAAGGACGCACTTAGCCCTTACTAGAGGCATACTTGGCCACAAGGACGCACTTGGCCCTTACTAGAGGCACATATGGCCACAAGGACACACTTGGCCACAAGGACACACCTTACTAGATACAATTCCCTTATGACATACCTGACACTAACAAAAATATTTACAAAACTTAATAAATCTATCTATAGATCTAGACCGAATGTCATGATTAATAATTGACCTCGTGTTATAAGATTGTAGTATTTTATTTTCGTTTTCTGTATGTAAAGTCACGATAACAAGAACTAATGTTTGATGCTAGATGTTTTATTTCACGAGGGCAGGCAGTGTGACGTTGACATCAAGGTTCAAACTGCAACGATTTGCCTGCCACCGTGAAGAAAAACAAAAATTGGTTGTATGTGCTATTTAGTGATCGAGTAATTTTATTTTATATTTCTGCATTTGGTTGATTGATTGTAGTAGACCTTAATTGCTAGATAATTATCAACTACCAGGTGCACCAGGAGTTGCACTCCGGCGGATGGCCGAATGTCATGATTCAGTCTGTTTTTCAATAATAAGTTGCTAAAATGAATACGTATTTCCGGTCAAATTGGTAGTAAATTTTTGGTTGGTTTGAAACTGACAATTCCTACACGCACCAATCAGAAGCAAGTTAAGAAAAGTGATAAGGGAAACGTTTTTGTTTTGAGATTGAGCCAGCGGTCGGAGCGTCATTCCTGTTGTAGAAGCGTTGGTTTCTGGTCACGAGATAAATTATTCGCCAAAATAGTTTTATTTAAATTATTCATAATAATTCTGTATTATAATTTAAGGTGAAAAGTACCAGCTACGTTATTATAATATTTATCTCAGAATGTGAATTGTGGACGACACGAATCCAATAAATCAGTTTTCCTATTACCCTTGAGTTAATTCGTAAAAATTGTTATATTTACATTATTAACGTGATTAGTGATTACGTGACACATAGAATTAAAATAGTTTCACGGATTGAACGACATTTAATTTTAGCTTTATTATATAATTCTTGGCTTTCGGATTTCTGTTCGATGCCGTCGGAACAAATAAAATTTTGTTATTGTTAATACTGGTCAGATATTTGCAAGCTATTAAGATATAAATAACTATTTTTTTTAAATATTGTTTGGCTGTCTGTGCGTCCAGGCTAATCTTATGAATAGCTGAATTGATAGTGCTGGAACTTTAAGAATAGGTGAATTGATGGTGATGGAACTTTAAGAATAGCTGAATTGATAGTGATAGAACTTTAAGAACAGATGTGGTGCAATGCCAAACGTGATCTAGGCTATATTTTATCTTTAACTTTTATACAACTATGAGATTAAAAAAAAAATATCATACCCTGGCGAAGCCGGGGTAGGTCTCTAGTTATGTTATATATTTTAAATATGACTGCCTCGTTGGTCTAGTAGTTATATAGTAGTGTGACTGCTGATCATGAGGTCCTGGGTTCGAATCCCGGGTCGGGCCAAAAAATTAATTATTGAGTTTTTCCGACAAGAAATTCTCAATAGTTGCCCGGAGTTATGAAGTTGGCGGTGTCTCACCCCCGTGCCTCGGAAAGCACGTAAAGCCGTTGGTCCTGCGCCTGATATCTCTTCGGTCGTGTCGGTTTACCGTCCCATCGGATTGAGAGTGAGTGAATAGAGTGCATCTGTGCTTGCGCATACACTTGAGCACTGTAATCCTGTCCTGCGCCGTTGGCTAGTCTCCGTTGAGGCAGGCCGCCGTGGCCGAAATTCGGTCTGGAGGACATTATTATTATATTTTAAATAATATTTTAATTTTTGTTTTTGTTGCTGCCCATGGCTCACACTACACTACAAAAGGTTAGCTGGCAAAGAATGCCTTCTCGGCATTAGAGGCGAAGGGATCGTGTACCAATTATTTTTAGAATTTTTTATTTACCCTTTTTTATAGCATTGGTCATATGGTCACCCAGGCACTTCACCTTCAAACGTGTTTAACGGTAAATGAAAACATCATTTGGAAAGCGAGATGTTTAAAAAAATATTGATTGAAAGCTAAGACGCAAAATTTAGTTCAAATTCCAATGGGGTTGCGCGGTGCGGCGGTCCCCTTCCTGAAATACCATAACCCTCTCAGAAATGAGAGGAGGCCAGTGCAGATGTTGGACATACGTTGTTACTTTACTTTTAAATACAATCTTTATGCATTATGTTGTTACATAGAATTCTTATTGGTTTTGTTTAGGTATTTGTTATTTCACTGGCAAATTTATATTTTTATAGACAAAAAATCAAAATTGTTATGACAGAGCGAGTAACTATTTAAATCATTTTTTTATTGACGCTAACACTACACATTGATTAAAACTACTTTTACGGATGTTATCGCTTTTAATTTTAAATGATTTTAAATTCCTGACTTTTCTGGTGCTTTCCAGCACCCATGGTCAGGGGAACTGCGATGATTGACGTCCCGATGTCAGTATTAAACCCGGAGTACCTTCGGAGTTTTAGATTATTATTTACGGTCCGGGCAAACAAAAAGATCAATTAGAACCCGCGTAAAAGAACATATTATTATAGCTGACGTGAAGCACCAACGTTCTGGAAAGTCTGCAGTTTGTGAACATATCCTAGACGGCCCCATTATATCAGATTTGATAGACCACAAATCCTCGCGAAAAAACATCAATTCCTACTAAGGATAATACGTGAGGCTATTGAAATAAAAAATAAACATCCTAATTTCAATAGAGAAGCAGGCTGGGTACTACCACCTGCTTGGGATCCTGTAATTAATAAAATTAAAACTTAAGCATACCGCTGCAAGACTAGGATATAATAAGTTCATTCTGCGTAGATCGGACCATAAAAAATAAATAATTAAAGAGTTAACACTGACATCGGGATGTCAGTCACCTCAGTCCACCGTGATCGTGGGTACTGGAAAGCACTCGAAACGTCGGGAATTAAAAATAAAGAAATTAAACGCAAAAAAACCTTAAAAGTAGTTTTAATCAAAGTACCTACTTTCTTACTAGAAGGCATAGACTTATTATACTACTGCGTACTAGAAGGTCTCAACATTTTTCTATAGATGTTAGGAAGAAATGAATAAACATATATAATAAATTATTATTAATATTTATTTTACTATATGTCTTATTGGACAGAGGACATCGCGGTGCATGATGCTGAGCCCGAAGATACAGCGTCACATTCGCGTCAACGACATCCAGTTAATTGCTCTCTCCGAAAGAGCGCAGTACGATCATTCACAGGTAAGTGCAATTTTGAAACTATTTGTCAAATCCATTTCTCCATCTAATTCCGGCGTAAAAATAGCTTGGCGTGCTCAGCAGAGCGGGACAGTATTTCATGCCGGCACACCGCCTGCAACTTTACAAGGCACAGGTTCGGCCGCACATGTAATACTGTTCCCATCTCTGGGCTGGGGCTCCCCAGTACCAGCTCCTTCCACTTGATCGCATCCAGCGCAGAGCGGCTCGAATCGTCGACGACCGAGTGCTTTCCGATTCACTCCCTCTCCGATTCACTGGCACTGCGAAGAGATGTTGCATCTCTTTGCATTTGCTTTCGCATATACCATGGAGAGTGCTCTGAGGAATTGTTCGGATTAATCCCAGCCGCCAAATTTCGTGAAAGCACTACGCGGAAATCTTCCCGATTCCATCCACACCCTCTGGATGCTTGGCGGTCCACCACTGTACGTTTCAAGAGGAGTTTTCTTCCGCGTACAAAATCTCTGTGGAATAGTTTACCACCAGCGATTTTTCCGGACCGATACCACCTGGAGACCTTCAAGAAAAGAGCTTACTCCTTTCTAAAGGGCCGGCAACGCACCTGCAATTCCCCTGGTGTTGCGATTGATCATGGGCAGCGGTAGTCACTTAACATCAGGTGAGCCACATGCTCGTTTTCCCCCTCCTCTATAAAAAAAACCCGTGTAAGGCATACCCTGGACTTACTGGAACACCCACTCGAGACCCTATTTGTACATCGATTTTCTGTTATTCCAGAAACATATTTACGCAGTAGCTTTTACGACGCTGCAGCTATATTATGGTTGTAGCACGAAAGGGTTGGCTCGACCATACCATCAGGTGGACTGTGTTCTGGTTTGTCACCTTTATTCTATAAAATAAAAAATATAGCCATTCCATTACCGCTTCGGCTCACTAACCCGTTTGACTGTGTCGTTTAATTTACGTTCTGCTGCGTATATTCTAACTTTGATGTTATAAAATACAATTTCAAAAATATGAGCCCACGCGGTGACAAAGCGCGTGTGACGCGGTGACGCGGTGAAAAGAAATGATGGGGGCGAATGAAATGAACAATCTTTTTAAATCCTATTTACGTCGTTTAAATGCTGCCACTTGCAATCATTTACAACAAAAAATTTACTAAAAAAATTTAACAACAATTAATATTGCCTTTACGAGTGTGTCGGTTCAACAGAATACCAGCAAAATAAAAAGCAGCTGTCTTCATATTCAATGCATATTGCGAGTGTAGAACTGAATGAACCTTTTTACCGGTATCGAGGCATTCTAGTATTTTAATCCTCAGGGGTGACATCTACATTTGATTCTTAATTGAGGATTTAATATGAAGATGTATATAGGCCTCAGCATCCATTTACCAACAGGTGGAATGTGCGCTCGTTAGTTATCCTTATTCTATAAAACAATATTTTAGTACAATAATACTTTTTAAACCTTACAGTGGCAGTGTAAGAATATCCACTTCCCCATATCGTCGCGAGGGTATCGTAAGAGGACGACAGGCAGGACATTGGCAGCAGCATCTTCCTAATAACAATTCAAACTCAAACTTTTTACTGCGTTCATGTGGTTACATAAATAGTTCTTAAGTTGGATATATTAGAGCCAAACATGTGCCCTGATAGGGCGTAGCAATATTATATTATATTATGTTATATATCAATTTAATCTAATCAATTTAGAAAGATGAATTTTATTTTATTTACTTAAACAAAACATTACTTTTAGGTTTAATGAACAATTGCAATATTTACAACGATATTAAAGAGGTAATACATATTCAAATTAAAAAATTATTATTTTTCACCGAAAAACTCTGACAACGAATAGGAACTTTTTTCAATTAAATATTTTTTAAGCTCTCTTTGAAATTTATGCAACGATTCTTCTTTTTGTAGACATTGGGGAATTTTATTATAAATTTTTACACACATACCATGGGGTCCTGATTTAACTGTTTGTAATTTTGTAATAGGTGGAGCTAATTTTTTACTAGGACGTAAAAAATGAGGCCGGGAGTATATAGAAAAAAGGTGCATATTCTTTTTAACAAATGTGCATACTTCTAGTATATATATATAGATGTAATTGTTAATATTTTTAATGAAATAAAGTAGGGTTTACAGCTGTCAGTGCTATCTATGTTTGTAATTATTCGGATACATTATTTTTTTGTAAAATAAACAATTTATTTACGTGTGTGCTGTTTCCCCCCAGTAAAACGCCGTACTTGAGCCATGCATGGGCATAAGCATAGTATGCACACGTGACTATTCTTGAATCTCTAACTTTTTTAAGTTCGTATAGTGCATACGAGAAACTGGAAAGCTTAGATGATACTTTCTTTGTGTTCTTTCCAATTTATACCTGAATCTATGTTTATACCTAATAATGTATATGAATCAACACATTCTAGTTTAGTATCGTTGTAAGAATAATTTATAGATAGGGGACATTTTTGATACGGCTTAAAATGTATTGTCTTAGTTTTTGTGTAATTTATGACGATACGGTGATTTTTTAACCATTTAGAGATATCTGTAAATCCACTATCTAGACAGTTGTTAAGATTGTTGTTAGTATTATTGTCGAAAGGTATGACTACAGAAAGACAATCGGCAAACAAAGAACAGGGGGATTTGATTATTTTCGGCAAATCATTAATATAATTTAAAAATAATAAACAACCGAGAACACTAGGTACCCTGTGGTATTGATTTAGTGACCGGTGCAAATTGAGACCTGACTTTAAATCACATTTCCACTGGCTAGGTTATGGTGTTCTATCTCTACACACTGCTTTCGATTGGTCAGGTATGATTCGAACCAGTTTTATGTTGGGCCTCTTACTCCCATTCCGTGTAACTTCCGTAAAAGTATGTCAAATCGAACTCGATCATAGGCTTTGGTCATGTCCAGTAAAATACCGATCGCGTATTTCTTTTTATTAAATATATTTAATATTTCATTGACATATTTGTATACTGCTGTAGTTGTTCATTTGTTTTTGCGAAAGCCATATTGATTGTCATTTAATATATTGAACTTTTCGCGGTAACAATATAGTCGATTAGACATAACGGATTCAAATATTTTTGAAAACGTTGGAAGAATAGCAATAGGGCGATAGTTGTTAGTCAGTTTTAGAGCTTTTTTATAGAGTGGTTTAATTATTAAAATTTTTAGTTGGTCGGGAACTTTACTTTCTGTAAACGATTGATTTATCAGGAATGTGATAACTGGGGCTAGTTCTTCGGCGCATTTCCTAATTAGACAAGGCGGTAAGTCATCATGACCGAAGCTACGCTTGTTTTTTAAATTACGTATTATAAATTTTATAATTTCTTGATTAGTAGCGGGTTGTAAAAGGAATAAATTCTTTACGGGATGAGAAGGACAGGCTGAACGATTGCACCTGGTGTGCCAAAAGTAGTATTATCATTACCAACCGACAAAAACAAATTATTGAAACACTCAACTATTTGAATAGGGTCCGCAGTGACACTATTTTGGACATTCAGTTCTGTTCTTTTTATTTTGTGTAAGCTTATTAGTTTGTTCCTTTACAACATTCCACATTGATTTTATTACATTATCAGAATTCTTTATTCTTTTAATATTATAGTTCTTTTTTGAAATATTTACAGTTTTTTTTAAGTATTTTTGAGTAATTTTTATAATACTTGTTTAGTACTGGATTTTTTTGTGTGAGATAATAATTTTTAAGAGTCTTATTTTTGCACGATATTTTGATTTTATTTGTAAGCCACAACTTTTTCTTTGTTTCTTATTTTTATGAGAATTTTTGGTATAGTTTCATTTAATATATGATTAATTTTATTACAAAATGATTTATAATTTTCATTAAACGTGAACGCAAAAAAATTTTATCAATAGTAATTGTTTTGCTAAAGTTTACTTCTCTTAATTTAGCTTTGAAATGTTGGATGTTTTTTTCACTAAAGATTCTTTTTTCTAGAATCCACGTATTACGCACGAGTATGTTTCTTTCTTTTATTGGTATATTTACTATAACTCCTTGGTGGTCAGAGAGACTCGACTCTACAACATTAATTACGACTATTTCGACATCAAAATTTGTGAATGTTAAATCTAAGCATGAGGATGTAGTCCCTGTTACCCTAGTTAGTTCTTGAACATGTTGATAGAAATTATAACTACGCATTAAATTTAATAGTCTTACAGTCGATATACTTTGTTTTAATACATCTACGTTAAAGTCTCCACCTATTACAAAGTTTGTTTTAGAATTTTTTCCTGAATTCGTTGTAAGAGCTTTTCTAATACACTGTAAAAACTATCAGGCATTCTGTTACTATTTGGCCAGTATACATTTATGACTAATAAATTTGTAACTGGTATTTCTATTCCACATATTTCAATTATAGGTTCTATGGACATAGCGTTTAAATCGGTTCGTTCAATATAATCTATATCATCTTTAACTAGTATACAAACACCTCCCCCTACTGAATTAGATCGACTGAAATTAGATACCAGGATATAACCTTGTACTCTGAGTAGGTCAAGTTTCGGAGCACTGATCCAGGTTTCAGATAGATATATAGCGTGTACATTTTTATCTTCATCTGTCCAAGCTTCCAACAAATGCAGTTTGTTATTAAAACTTTGTATGTTTTGGTAAATAATCCTTATTTTATTATCGAAAAAACAAATTTTTTAGAGGTGGCGAGGCAGGTCTTGGTTCATTTTGATCATTCTGAAATTCTGTCATGGATTCTAATGTTTTATTATAACCATAATCTTCAATTTCACACATAAGTACATTAATGTCTTTGAATATGGTTTGCATTCCATAGTTATTTATGATACCTGTGTGTTTTTTAAACATCGTATAATCATATTCTAGATTCAGGTTGGAATCAATAAGGTGTGCATACTCATGTGTCATTACATCCAGATGTAGTAAATTATTAAAAACTTCTACTAGCCAGTTAAATAAATTTCGGAATCTACAGTATCTAAAGGTAGGTAGACACAAAATGATGTTTGTGTGTGTAATTTCTGACAACGTTTGTCGAATATATGTTATTAATTCAAAGTAATTAATAGTGGACTTGAAATCTTGATCGCCTATTACAAAACCCCATAATATGTAGTAGTTTTCCATTGTATATTCCATAAGTTTGGTCTTTAGTCCCATCATAAGTGGTTTTATTCCGTATCCAGTCAGAAGATAATGGCAGATATCAAAATCTCCATGCAAAAATCGTTGAGCGATGGATCTTGTTTTAGTAAACTTGTTAGTACTTAACATACATATCTTCTTTTTGTTCTCCTGAGATATTTTAGAGTTATTTAATGTGTTCTCTTGTTGGCTTGTTACGTCGCGTAATGGTGACTTGTTCATACTGTTATTATATTTGTTATATTATTATTTTGCCGCTTGCTTTCATTAGTCTCACTGGAGCTGTGACACAATGCTATATTTAATAATTTTACTCAAAATAATAATAAAAAGACCAGAGTTCCAAATCCGCCTGCCAAGCGTGGCGGTTATGGCAAAATCGTCCTCGTTAGGTAACCTATAGGAGACTGTTAAACATAGGTCTTTGCTCAATAAAATCTTTGATGAATGTAGTGATACCGTTGACGTTAATTTTGATTCCGTATGTCACTTAAACATTGTGATAGCAAAGATTGTGTATTTAATTGTTTATAATTAATGTAAAACACACCCACTCACGCGCGCACATACGCACACGCGCACGCGCACGCACACGCACACGCGCACGCACACGCACACGCACACGCACACGCACACGCACACGCACACGCACACGCACACGCGCACGCGCACGCGCACACGTACGCACCCGCAAGCACGGTGTGCGTATGTGTGCGTTAGAAATAATACAACCGTAAATTTTGATAAAAGATGTAATAATGTATAAATAGTTGGTAATCCTAATAAATAAAAAAGTGGATCTGTAAAATTACTTATATTGAATGAATGAATATTTTTTATTTTCATTTCCATAGTCTTCTTTTACGAGACCCACGGAACGAAATGGAGTAACAGTTTTTGTTACTGCGGCACCACATGGAATACACGTACGTAACCAAATATTAATAAAATGCAATAACACCTCTGTCCAGGCTGGCTACCTCCACAAACGAAGCTCAGACAACACGAAATGGCAACTGCGCTGGTTCGTCCTTTACCAGAACCTCCTGTTCTACTACGACTCTGAGAACAGCACGCGCCCAACCGGCGTGCTCCTTCTAGAAGGTTCTTATTGCGAGCGCCTCAGCAAATCGCCTATGGAGCGCAACGCTTCAGTGAGTACTAGTCTTTTTAATTTAGCACCTTTAAGTGTCCATTTTTTACGGTTTTTCTACTGTTCGCCTACTGATATGGTCATCACATATATAGAGAAAATCGAAGCTAACGTTCCTCTAAAAATGCAATACCATCTGTAGCGGAGCTGTCATCTAACCACATCGCACTGGAGCCTAAATCACGCTATTAAAGTTCCCGAAGTACTGTGCTGTAAATATATCATCATCATCATCATCATTACAGCCCTTCATAAGTCCACTGCTGAACATAGGCCTCCCCCAAGTAATGCCACAAAGCACGGTCCTGAGCCACCTGCATCCATCGACTTCCTGCATATCTTACCAGGTCGTCACTCCATCTAGTGGGGGGTCGCCCTACACTACGCCTACCGAGGCTGCCACTCGAGAACCTTTCTTCCCCATCGGTTATCGGTTCTTCGAGCTATATGGCCGACACATTGCCACTTCAGCTTACTAATCCGTTGGGCTATGTCAGTCACTCGGTTTTACTGCGGATATCCTCATTTCTGAGTCTATCACGCAGAGAAACTCCGAGCATAGCCCTCTCCATAGCTTGCTGAGCGACCTTGAGCGTCCTCATACGGCCAGCAGTGAAGGACCACGTCTCAGATCCGTAAGTCATCACTGGCAACACGCAATGGTTGTAAAATCTAGTTTTTAGAGATTGGGCAGGAAACTATACCTGACGAGAAGATATGTCGTAATTTCCCGAACGCTGCCCAGCCGAGTTGAATCCATCGATTGACCTCTCGGTCGAAGTTGGACTTACCTAGTCAGACTATTTGTCCCAGGTAAACGTACTCGTCAACAACTTCGAGCATAGTGCTCCCAACAACTACCGGCATAGGTGTGACATGGACATTAAACATAATATTTGTTTTGTCCATGTTCATCTTAAGACCTATCCGTTGGGAGGCACTATTGAGGTCATTGAGCATAGTGCTTAAGTCCTCCAGTGATTCTGCCATAAGGTTATATATATCTATATAACCTTATGGCAGAATATATAAGCTATATCGTCGGCAAATCGAAGGTGAGTGATGTACTCGCCATTGATGTTAATACCGTATCCTTTCCAGTCCAGTATCTTGAAAACGTCTTCCAATGCAGCGGTGAAGAGTTTCGGGGATATAACGTCGCCCTGTCTTACACCTCTCTGCAGTTGGATAGGTTTCGAGCTCTGGTTCTGTACTCGGATAGCCATCGTAGCCCTACTGTACAAAAACTTCAGCACTTCGATATACCGTCAGTCAACTTGGCACCGCTGAAGGGACTGTAGCACCGCCCAAATTTAGACGGAATCATAGGCTTTCTCATACAATCTGCCGCAGGGTATGTATGTGATCTATGGTACTGAAGCCTTTTCGGAAACCGGCTTGTTCGGGAGGCTGGAAGTCGTCGAGTCTGCGTACGAGACGATTCGTAATGACTCTTGAAAACAGCACGTAGACGCGGCTCAGAAGGAAAATCGGTCTGTAGTTCTTCAAGAGAGCGTTGTCGCCTTTCTTAAAGAACAAGACCACCGCACTTCTGCTCCACGTCTCTGGAGTAGTGCCATCATGGAGGACGGAATTGAAGAGCTTCTGAAGGACTTCAAGTACCGGTGTTCCACCCGCTTTCAGAAGCTCCGCTGTAATTCCATCCTCGCCTGGGGCCCTGCCGTTTTTAAGGTGCTGGAGAGCCATTCTAATCTCGCTTAGACTGACGTCCGGGATATCATCGGAATAGTGTCGGATAAGACTTGCTCTTGGATCGTTACTCACACTTGCGTGTGGCTCCAACGATGATGTGTACAGCTGCCCATAGAACCTCTCAATCTCACTCAAAATCTCAGGTGTCCCGGAAACGATGCTGCCACACTCAGTCTTCAGCTTTGACAGTTGGCTCTTACTGGCAGACAGATCTCTGGCAAAGACTTTGGAGTCCTGCAGCATTAAAGTTGCGTAAGTCTCGCCGCATGCATTTGGAGATCTGTCTGTTCAGTTGCCTGTATGCTGTCAAATCTGTTGACGATTGCAGCCTCATCTCCAGTCTAACAGCCATGAAATTAAGAGTGTGATCGGAGAGTTTTTGTGTTCTTCTGCTGCGGGTCTTGCAGAACTTGGCTCCGACCGCATGGACAGTTTCCACGAGCTTGTCATTCATATCGTCCACTGCATTGCAATCTTCTAGGTACTGAAAGCGGAAATATCCTCATACATTTCCTCCACCTCCTCATCAGGATGTGCCGAGGTTGGTGCGTAAACCTGTATGACCTTCAGCGAATACCTTTTGGTGATTCTGTGTATCAGGTACGCGACCCTCGTCGACACACTCCCAATCTTTAAAGTAAAGTAAAAGTAAAATATACTTTATTGTACACCAAGGAACATATTACATTATTTATATATTTAAAGGGACATTGGTACAACAGGCGGCCTTATCGCTAAAACAGCGATCTCTTCCAGGCAACCTTAGGGCAGAGGATACTATTTTAAAAGATAGCGGAAGGGGTGTACAGAATATGATAAAGAAAGATAAATAGAAGAACATAAATGATTAAAGAAAAAAAAAAAGAAAAAAAAAATGAATGACGACAGGTAGTAACTTAAGAGGAAAGGTAATAAAGTTTTAATTTATTTTTAAATATAGGAAGAGATTTAGATTTTTTGATATGTAAGGGGAGAGAATTCCATAGTCGTATAGCGGTAACCGTAAAAGAATTAGAATAGAAGGAAGAGGAATGTCTAGGGGTACTTAGAAGGAGATTATTTTGAGATCGTAAACTACTTAAATATATAAATCGGTCTTTCAAATAAGAAGGAGTGGTCGGATTGAACAGAATGCAGTAAAGAAGATGAAGAATGTGAGTATTCCTGCGAAGACGAATCGGGAGCCACTTGAGCTTATGGCGGAATTCGGATATGTGGTCATACTTTCGTAACCCAAATATAAACCTTATGCAATAATTTTGAAGCCGCTCAAGTTTATTAAGTTGCTCGTATGTTAGGTCAAGATAACAAGTGTCCGCGTAGTCAAGGATCGGTAAAAGAAGAGACTGAGCCAGCGCAACTTTAGTAGGAATGGGGAGAACATTGCGTAATCTTCGAAGTGAACAACTTTACAACGTTGTTGACGAGAGACTTGTGGACGATAAATCCGACACCTCCTTGGGACAGATGGTCGCCCCCCCCCCCCGGTGATAGAACAAGTTGCCGGATTCGAGAATCACTGTGTCCTCCCCCTCTCTTCGGACCTCTGATAATCCTATAATATTCCAGCGCAACTTGTCTATCTCTTCTTCCAGCTCCAGGATCTTCTCGTCCTCAGCGTGCGTGCTTTAAATGTTGCCAGGTCGAGTCGTCGTAGGTGGCAACCGAACCTCCACCGGAGATTCTTAGCACCCCCTGCCCCGCCGTTACCATGGTCGCCACCGTAGCCAGGAATAGCCGGGCCGCCGGGGACTGATTGCCATAGTTGCCACGCTTGGTGAGCGGGTTGGCAACCGTAGTTTTATTTTTGTCGTACAGTTGCTATTATCAGGAAGATGCTGCTGCCAATCTCCTGCCTGTCTCCCTCTGTCGCCTTTTATGACACCCACGGGAAGATATGGGGTAGTGGATATTCCTAACCGCCACTACACGACTAATATATAGAACGAAGCTATAAATATATAGAACGAAGCTTCTGAGCAGTCCGTTAAAAACATGTACGAGGAGGACTCACACCCTGACGGTTCCGTATAAATTTAATTACGTATGTCCCCATACTTTATCCATAACAGGAATTATAGGTAATGTTGACAATGAACAGTTATCTGACGAAGTGGTAAGTGGGATTTAAAGACAATCTTAATTTTGCAGTGGAAAAAATGTTCTCGCGTACATCTGTCTATATCATGGTCAATGCTCCAACTGCGTGAGAATTTTTAATTGCAAAAAATATTATATGATCTTATTCATTCAAGGACATTTTATTGTAGGACAGTGGCAAGTACTCTATTTTGATGTGTGAGTATGCGAACATCCAAATATGTAACATAAGTATTCTCATCAACTTCAACTTGATGTCTTTACCCGATCTTAAGAAAAACGGACAGACAAAAAAGTGGTCCTATAGGGACTCCATCTTTTTTTCTTTTGAGGTTTGAACCCTAATAAGTAATTAGGTACTGTTTCCAAGACAGAACTAAATAAGACTGTGGCATCTATCCGGACGCAATCTAAGCAGAACAGGATCTTTTGAATTTACTGTATCTGATACTGTTAAATAGAATTAATATGTCACCTTTGTGGTTCATACGAGTTCTGAGCTGTCACTGTGAAATGAAAAACGAGATCATTTACTTTTGTTAAAGGTGTAGGATTTAACGCTATGGTTTACTGTTGAGTAAAATAGGTCAATCCTCAATTGCTAATACCCGGGAACTTTGTCACACTTAATTTTGCTAACATTTGTGAGCGTAGGGTCTGCAAAATAACATTATAATAATAATTATTTTTTGTCATTTTGTCATGGACTTTATAAAGAAATTATTCAACTAATTACAAGTCCACTGCTGAAGATAGGCCTACCTCATATATTGTTAGAAAGTACGATCCTGAGCCACTTCCATCCATCGACTTCTTGTATGTTTCAACAGAAATCTATCAGGATTAGATTTTCATAAAATATGAGTGTAGTTGTAGCTAGCCCACCGCTGCGCTTTGACACCACCAGGTTTTTTCCTCATCGGTTGTCGGTTCTTTGAGTTAAAAGATTATACAAAACGCGACATGGAAGTCTAGGGACCGTTATTGTACATAATTGGGCTTACGGTGCATTATTGCGTATGATTGGCTGTGTGTATCATTTGCAAGCGCTGATTGGTCTCTTCAGTTACATTCTGTACCCCGTACTGAAAATTCATTTGCAGTTATCCCCTCCACGTTTCGTTCAGCGCTAAGTTACGTGCCGCGAGTTATATGAGTATAGGTATGCCGTCTAGGTATAAAGCAATAATCATCACAAATCACACCAGTGTGCCCTACCCCTGTCATCTTCATGCAATCCTGTCCATTCATTGGTTGTCTTGAAGATATTCACATTTTATAATTCTTTTGTATATACAACATGTAACATAATTAACGCACTTTGAGAAAGTAGTTTGTTCAGAATCGTTTATTGAATCGATTCCTATCATTTTTAATATAGGTAATTTTTTATCCCAAAAATAATTAAAACTACGTCAGTTAGTCACACTAAACCTGTACAGTCAAAACAAACTGAAATGGACCATAACTTAAGGCAATAAGACTTTTAAGAGTGCAGTTATATTTGTATTATTACTAATTCTGTCATTCATTTAAAAAAAATGAACTTTATTTCAAGCACGTTAAAGTCTTTGCGTTCGTGGATTTGTACTGTGACCACAACATTGTTCCGGAATTAGTTTATTTTTATATTATTATTATTATTATAAGATAATATACTAATTAGGGTGTCTGAGGGTGTGCGTTAATTATGTTACATATTGTATATATAATGTAAACAAATGCTACCTGATCATTTTATTAATGTGTTATAAGTAGTTTCATGCTACAAACGTATATCAACTAAACTTTGTATGCGTAACACTTTAAGTAATTTTTCCACTAAGTTCTAGCTCATAGTTCAAATTAATTTTTCGAAACCTCCAGTTACTAATTGGTCACTAAATGTTGTGTAAAAAGAAATACGTGGTAGAGCCACGCCGCAAGGTTATAGCACGAATGGGCCTGCTCGACCGGGGTAGGACGACGCACTCACAGAATACCAGCGTAAAATAGCAGCTTAATACTGCTTTGTTTCGTATGGTGAGTGTAGAGATCCGAAGACCCTTATTACTGGAAACGAAGCATTCCATCTACTAAGATGTCCGCTAACACGGGACCTCGTCATGGGCAGTCGTACTACTACAACCAGTAGACCGACGAGGCAGTCGCATTTCGTACCACAGGAGTAGTATGAAGAAACAATGGGAAATGCCTTAAAGATCTCAAAGTACCGCGCCATCTATCAGAAACCTTTTTAGCTTACCCTATTGGCACTCTTACCTGTCTGATCTTATACTACCTAATATAGTAGGTATGTACTAATAATAATAATAAAACATTTATTCATTATCACCAATAAAGTTACAGTGAGTAGGTCATACAGAAATAAACACAATTACAGTAGATCCGCGGTAATCCGACAAACGTTTAGCAAGGCGGTGTCGGATTATCAAATTTGTCGGACTATAGAGTACTGCCACAGCCCCCTGGTAGTCCGGAACTTTTTGAAAAAGAGTACTTTGTAATCCGACAAATTACATATAAAATATTAAACAATAAAAAAGTCATGTGAAATTAAGTAAATGATGGATGTCCGTTAGACTGCAACCCCAGTCACACTTCAAACTGAGACAATGGCCTGAAATAAATGCAACCTGTTTGTCCACGTATTCGCGAAGAACACCCCCCCCCCCCATAACGGATTCATTTAAGGCATGTCGGATTACAAGGGGGGTGCGGATTAGCCAGGAGCCGGATTATCGGAAGGCTCTAACTTAGCATAAATATTGCAGTTGCCTACAACCATTGAGTTATACAAAACTAGAGGAGCAAACCACATTACCGCGCGTCGAAAAAAGTGTAACCACTATCCAACCGCGACGACGTAGCTTTGAAATTACTAAACATTTTAAATAAACATATATCTGTCTCACTTACACAAGTTGCGAAAACAATACCGTCGCTAAGATTGGATAAAGATAGATACACCAAACATGCAATGGCGAGTTGGTGTGGCTTACTGTATGAAATTTAATCCAAAATATGGAATAAAAAGGAGTTTTTTTAAGCTGCAGTTAATTGTTTTTATAAAAAAAGTGTAAGCATAACTGATGAAATAAAACATATTTTTATAAGTATTTTTATTCTACTAATAAATTAAATAATATAATAAAAAATAGGTAATAAAATATAATTAATATAGAATATAAAATTTATATAAAAATAAAATTATAATCAATATAAAATTATTAATATAAAATAGGTAATAAAATATATTTAATAGACCATTCATGAATAAACTAAAATAAGAATAATCATTTATTTTGTATGAAAGTTAAAACGTAGTTTTTATTATAATTTCCAAAATATTTAAAATCTGAGGTAACAAATTAACTTACTCCATTAATTATATAATCTCCCGTTAACGTGGGACAATCACAAAGGCGGAAAAGTGACAACATTTAATCTAAATCTCAATGATCGCTAATATTATTTAATTATTTGAGGTTTTTACGTTTATATGAAAACATGAACTAAAACTTATATGTGGAAAGTGATTTCGCTTGATTTATTACGTTTTTGTGACTCTGAATCGCATTTTTTTACTACGCATTTACCCATTTTTTGTCGCGGATCGTTTGGCTCATTGAGTTATACAAAACATAAATCAATGGTTCGGCTCAACTATGTCGGCGTTACATTGAAAACTGAACTCTCTGGTATATAGGTATTATCTATGCACTGAACTGACGTTAGCTTGGCATATGGCTGTGGCCATATGTGCAGTGGCAACGCTTTGGTGCGGTAATTACTAATCTAGTGAAATATATAAATCAATGCCTACAACGCTGTTATTCTGCCAGCGCCCATCAATTGAAGAGTACAGTACGCTCGCATCTCTGTTCGCATTTAATCACGTGTTCATATTAGGGTACATACCGTGGTTTCCCAAGTATTAGCGAGCATTAGCCAGTTCAAATTAGTAATTAAAGAAATATTTTTAATTATCAATAAAGAAAATTCCATAGAATTTTTATTTTAAATAATTATTGCAACAATATAACTAATAGTAAGAAACAAAGTATAAAATAATATTTATTTTACCGAGCCTAACTTATTTGAGCATATACGTCTACTACCGCCTACTAGCAATGTTTATTTATTTTATTTTAAACTGAACAAGTGGTATTTGTATTTTTGTTAACAGTTTTGCTTCACAATATCGTATCGAAACGAACGTCAGCGTCAGTACGAGCTGCGCGCTGCCTCGGAAGTGGACTGTGTGCACTGGGTCGACGCAATACGTGAGGCGAGGTAAGTGATGTTTTTTATTTATTCATACCATTATCATCTTTATTATAGCCCTTCACAAGGCCCCTGTTGATCATAGCCCCCTTCCCCCAAGAAATGCCATAAAGCACGGTCCTGAGTCACCAGTATCCATTGATTTCCTGCGTGCGTTGCCAGGTCGTCACTCCGTCTAGTGGCCATCTCACACCTTGCCTACCAGTAGGAGGCTGCTACTTAAGAACCTTTCTTCCCCATTGGTTGTCGGTCCTTCGAGTTATATGACCGGCCCATTTCCACTTCAGCCTACTGATCCGTCGAGCTATGTCGGTCACTCTGGTTCTACTGCGGATATCTTCATTTCTAAGTTTATCACGCAGAGAATCCCCGAGCATAGCCTTTTCTATAGCTCAATGAGCGACCTTGAGCGTTATACGGCCAGCAGCGAAGGACCACAAATCTCAGATCCATAAATCATTACTGGCAATACGCACTGGTTGTACAATCTTTCACAATAATGAATAATGATAACATATTTATCATCTATAATTTTAAAAAATTACTTTGATTTTTTTGAATTCCTGACGTTTCGGGTGCTTTACCGCACCCGAATTAAAAAGTTGGTTTTATTCAATCTGGGTACGTCTATTAGTTCGCTTGTCAGCCGGTCTATTTGTTTGTCCGGTAGTTTGTCTGATTGACTGACCAACTGAATATTTTTATTTAGATTAGTAATAAATCATCATCATTATTATAACAAAAGTACTAATTGCACGCAAACAAAGTCGCGGGCACAGCTAGTCAGTAATATTACAGGGAAGCTGGTAATACATAGATAATAAGTACCCAAAAATGAGCCGGTAGTTTTTATGGAGTCTGTATTTTCAAAGATTTATAATATTAACAAAAACAGACTTTTCATGTAAAACGTTGTACAACCGATTTCAAAACAAATAAAATGAGAACATAGTAGTCGAAGTCGATTAAATACGCATTATTAAGGATAACTCAAAAACTACTAGTTGGATCTTGATAAAATGTATATGAAACCGAGAAGAGTCAGCTTTAAAATAAAAAAAGAATCATCAAAATCAGTTCACCAGAAGAAATTTCTGAGGTAACACACATAAAAAACATACAGTCGAATTGAATACCTCCTCCTTTTTGAAGTCGGTTAAACAAGACAAACAGTGCCTCGGGACACGCTTCGGTACGTAATCATCTATTAGAGACAGCACTTCTTACATGAATCATCCATCTCATTTATATTGTTAACAGAAATGTTTATATTCATGGTTAATATGTACTAATTATATAAATGTACATATCTTAACATGTATATAAGTACAGTTTACTAATTACTAATTAAATGTATATATTATAATTTTCATTTTGTTTTTTATTCTATACTAGCGATCGCCCTAGCTTCGCACGCGTGATTTCTGGATCTCGACAACAGCGCCATCTACCACGTCCAAATGCGAATCTAAACCATCTAGGGACCCATTCAAACAAACACAAAATAATTCGTCAAAATCGGTCGAGCCGTTTTTGAGTTTTAGCGAGACTAACAGACAATCGATTTTTATATACGTGGTGTTTTTTTTACCGCCTGATTTTTTTATCGTCTGGAAAAAAATAGGGTGTAATAGGTGAACGGAGTAGAAGCATATGACACTGATATTTTACAATTTTATTTTCATTTCACATTAACATATTATGAAATTGATCTATCAATAAATACTACTGATTAGAAATAAACTTTCGTTATTAAAAAATAACAACATAATTTTTGAACTAAATAAATAAATCAATTAAAAACTATCGAAATTAAAATAATATGTACCAAATTAGTAGTATTTATTAATACATCAATTTCATCATATGTTAATGTAAAATTAAAAAAAGGAAAATATCGGTGCCATAGGCTTCTATTCCATTCATCTGTTACACCCTATTTTTTCAGACTGTAAAAAATCATCAAGTATAGAGATTGCTACGCCTACGTCATATTCTCACCACTCCATTGGTTGACTGGTAGAGAATGCCTAAAGGTATTGTCCGCATATATATATATATATATATATATAGATATATATATATATATATATATAAAAAAATATAGATGCAAGTTTCTATGGGTCACAGCATTTACTTTTACTGTCACACTAGCTGTGCCCCGCTATCACCTAAGCCTAGTACACGATATGACATCTATTTCAAGAATTTTAGTATATTTTTGTATTTAATGTATGTAAAATAGTAGTGGAGTAATTTTATCTATCGGCATAAATATCTTATAGAGCGAAGTTAAATTTTATCCACTCTCCCTCCCTCCTCCGGGTGAGTGTCACCCCTCCGCGCCTCAGAAAGTGTACGAAGCGTGGTTTATTCCAGTTTTAAAGAAAACTGTACACGAAAAGTGTGGCGGTACGAAATGTTTTTTTTTTTGTCATTTATCGATTTTGTTGCTATATTTCGCTGAATAGCTGAATCAATTAAATTAAACAAAATAGCATAGCAACGTAGTATGAATTAGTTTAGAATTAGTCTATTCTTTACTTTAGTCACACATATCTTGGCGGTCAAGTGAGAAATTTTTAAGGAAACAAACTTTATGCATAAATTATCGGTAAATGAAAAAAGAATCGTATTTGGAGGTAGACTGCACGGAAACTATAAATAATATCGATTTTGTATGAATCATACGTTAATAGAAAATATATCAAGGATCATTTCGTCTACACACTTTTCATGTATCGTGTACTGTTTTCTTTAAAACTGGAAAATACCGCGATTCGGGACACGTGGGTGACGCTCACCCGGAAGGAGGAGAGTGAGTGGATAAAATGTACATTAGCTCTATCCATCCATATGTATATAAAATTACTCCATTAATTTTTCCAATTCTTTAGCTAAAATGATTGAACTAACCTCACCCATATAAGCGTTACTGCTGTCATCGGACGGCTAGTGTTTATTCCGAGTGTTGAATTATTTTAATTTTTCATTATCTTGAAAACATATCTTAATATTATATAATTTTTCATTATCTCATATACTATGCGTCCAAGTAACATACCATAAAGAGTTAAGTGTATCTGCATAAAATTGTTTTGATGATGAAGTAACTTTCGTTCGTGAGAATTAATATGCTATGCCTAATAATAACGCTTAAAAATCACATTTTAATATGCAATAATTTTGTCACAAAATACCTTATTGTAGCTTATATATAAGAAAAAGGCGTATGGTATTACGGTTTTTTTTCTAGATGAAGTAAAGATCTATATTTTTGTAAAACATTGTATTTACGTATCTAGCCATTAAGCCAGCGCACGTGGATAAACCATTTCGGGAGCGCTTTTTCTTCTATTTTGCTTAACAAATATCAATATTAAAGGCTAGCTGAGAGGTGTAGCCTAATGGTACATAACTTATACTATTTCTCATGAATGTGGCTATAATATACAAAAATAATTTTTCAAATCGGACTGGTAGTTTCAGAGATTAGCGTGTTTAAACAAACAAAAAAAACTTTTCCGCTTTATTATATTATAGTGTAGATATAGGTACTGTGATCTTTCAACCTTACTGTTATACCTAGGCTGCACTAAAAGTATCGGGAACGGAATATTTCCACTGTTCCTGTCATATTAAAATCTTTTTAATTGAAAACTCCTTGGTTTTAAAAATCGAATACCATTTATTTATTTAAAAAAAAGATTCTCGGTCTTGTCACAAGGTTTTGTCAAACTTGTTGTTTAGTCGTTGAGAAAATGGAATTGACTCGAGAAAATTCAAGAGCGATGATATATTATGACTTTCGAAGTGGGTTAACATAAAAACAGTGTGTTGACCGGATGATTTCTGCATTTGGTGATGAAGCCCCATCCAAAACCACAATTTATCGCTGGTTTGCTGAATTTCAACGTGGACGTGTCAGCTCAGTGATGATCCCCGTCAAGGTCGTCTAAAAACTGCAGTCACCCAAGAAAACGTTGATGCTGTACGTAAGCTGATTGAGGAAGATCGACATGTGACATACTGCGAAGTTCAGGCAACTTTAGACATTGGCATGAGTCAAATACAAATAATCTTGCACGAACAATTAGGTGTAAAAAAGTTGTTTTCCCGATGGACACCGCATTCGCTCTGTGAAGAGCAAAAAGCGGCTCGCGTTACTTGGTGCTTCAGAACTCTCGAAAGATTTCACGCAGGATCCTCAAATGTATACAACATCGTATCAGGTGACGAATCCTGGATATACGCGTACGAACCCGAAACAAAAAACCAGTCACGAGTTTGGGTGTTCGAAAATGAGTTAAAGCCAACAAAAATTGTTCGTTCACGCAGTGTTGCAAAAAAAAATGGTGGCCACGTTTGTCTCCAAAACCGGCCATGTTAGGACTATTCCTCTTGAGGGACAAAGAACTGTTAACGCAGAATGGTATGCTAGCGTTTGTTTTCCACAGGTCGTTTCTGAACTCCGTAAAGAGAACTGCAACCACCGCATCATCCTCCATCACGACAATGCGAGTTTTCACACCGCACACAGAACAAAAGAGTTTTTAGAGCGAAAACATAGAATTATTAGACCATCCGCCGTACAACCCCGACCTAAGCCCTAATGATTTCTATACTTTCCCCAAAATAAAGAATAAATTGCGTGGACAGAGATTTTCATCACCTGAAGAAGCTGTGGACGCCTACAAAACGGCCATTTTGGAGACCCCAACTACCGAATGGAATGGTTGCTTCAAGGATTGATTCCATCGTATGGAAAAATGTGTCAAATTTCGCGGGGAATCTTCGAAAAGCAATAAATACTGAAAAAGGAAATTGGTCCATATTTGGAATAAATCTAACTAGTCATTGTGAAAAGTGTGACAAGTTAGATTGTGAATGTGGTCTCTCTTACATAGGTCAAACAAAAAGATCCATAAAAACCCGCGTGAAGGAACATATAGCTGACGTGAAGCACCGACGCTCCGGGAAGTCTGTAGTTTGTGAAGATGTTCAAGATC